TCGAACACTTCCCCAGATAGGATTACTGGATCAAGGGGTACCAATCTTTGTGACTTTTGCCACATACTGCCAAATAATGTTCCAAAAAGCTTTTTACCAACTTACAATGTTACCAGCAATGAGTAAGTGTTTACTGGTTCCAAGGTAACCATATTAGCATTGGGCTTTCTTTTTGTGTTTGTTGATTTAACAGATGGAAAATGTACCTCACTGCTGTTTGAATATGCTCATCTTTGCATACCAGTGAGGCTGAACATTTTTTCACGCATTCATTTACTCTGTGATAGAACATGAATGTCTTTTACCCGTCTACCTACTGGAGAATTCACTCAGCCAACAGTTATGGAGCATCTCCTTTTGTTCTGTGTTTTCCTTTTCAGTATTTTTTCCCCAGCTCTACTGAAGTATAATTACAACAATTGTACATATTTAAGGTATACAGTGTGATGGCTTGACATATGCATACACTGTGAAATAATTACTGCAATCAAGTTAACACAGCCATTACCTCACAGTTACCATTTCGTGTATGTGTAGTGAGAATACTTAAGATCTACTCTCTCGGCACATTTTTATATATTTGATTCCACTGATCTCTTCCTTTCTGACCTCTTTCATTTTTTTTTTTTTTTTTTAGGCTGTACCGCGTGGCTTACGGGATCTTATTTCCCCGACCAGGGATTGAACCTGGGGCCACAGCAGTGAGAGTGTGGAGTCCTAACCACTGGACCGCCAGGGAATTCCCCTGACTTATATCATTTTATAGTTACAAGGTTATCATACTTCCAGGGATTTGATTATTATCCTATTTTCTGTGGTCTTATTTAAATAAGTTTCTAGGAGTCTCTCATAAATATATTCTCCTACAATTATACAATTTAAAGCTCTAATTCCTACTTCATGATTCTTGACCTTTAACATATCTAGCTTTTTTATCAGAAGCACTTAATTTAAAACAAGATTTAAAATAAAAGTTGGACTTCTCTTTTACACAGGCTATGTTGTATTAAAAATAATTAACTAAAAAAAAATTATCCTGCTGCAACCAGAAGCGAACCCAGGTTTGTTAATGAAGATTCAACCCCAAAGAGCCTGGTTAAGATCTCCTTCTCTGTCTCAGGCCCAAGGAAGAGATATTTAGAACCACCACTGCATGACTTCTCTTTCTTAGGACTGCTTTAGGGTAGAGTCCCCTTCGCCACTCAAAGAGGCGAGTCCTCAGAGTAGCCGTGGTATGAGCAGCTGCTTGTTGGAACTGCAGAACCTCAGGCCTGCCCCCCAGACCTGCTGCACCAGAATCTACATGTTAAAGGCTGAAAAGCACTGACATAGACCACGGGATTCCCCCCAGCTCTGCTGATGCCCCTGCTCTGAATCAGGCACCATCAGAAGGTATCCCTCCCCTCAGATGTCTACCCTCAACCCTTTTAAGGTACCCCCTTCAAATGAACATCACCCAGCATATCATGCATCTGAAAATTCACATGCTGAGGTTTTGAGAGGAAGGATGGCTCTAACTTTGTAGTCGCAATTTCACCCAGACCTGGGATTGTAAAGTCACATGCACGTTAAGAGCCAAGCAGGTCTTACAAATGAGTAAGACATTCAGATAATGGCACCTGACCCTTGTCCTTAGTGTCAAGGCGCTGGCGACCATGGCAAGTTTCAGAGTTCACGCTCTATCTAAAGATCCAGCGGCTACTGGCTCCAGCCTAGCGTTGCCCAACAGGAATGCAGGCTCCATGCTGTCAGACCTTCTGACATCTCAAGAGAAGATGAAAATCTGCATTTTTAAAAAAATGTGAAATCTCTCGATTCTAAATGCTTGGCAATTCACTTAAAATTTTAAAGGAACCCCCTCTGTGTGCCAGATCCAGCCCACCAGTTTCAGACCTTGGCTCCAGATGGACGGTTTCCAAACTCTTTAAGCCTGTGTGACCCATCTGTGCACCAAGAAGAGAGGTCACGTCAAGATCAATGGTACATGGCACTGACATATATACGCTACCAAACGTAAAATAGCTAGCTAGTGGGAAGCAGCCCCATAGCACAGGGAGATCAGCTCGTGCTTTGTGACCACCTAGAGGGGTGGGATAGGGAGGGAGGGAGGGACGGAGACGCAAGAAGGAGGGGATATGGGGATGATTCACTTTGTTATACAGCAGCGACTAACACAACACTGTAAAGCAATTATACTCCGATAAAGATGTTAGGAAAAAAAAAAAGTCAACCAAGTTAAAAAGAAAAAAAAAGATCAACGGTACAAATCAAATAACTATGACTACTGCTTTTAAAAATTTTGTTTTGTGAATATTAAAAACTGCCAAATCAATCATGAAAGTGACCATATGTCAATGATACAAATATTTCCTAGATGTGAAATAAATGTCTCATCAACAATATCGTCTCTACTACAAAAACAAATTAAGAATTATGTTGTGTTCAAGTTTTTGTTCCAAGTAATTCCATACCTAAAGGGCAGCCAAATGGAACAATTTCAAGTCCCTGAATTATAAAGTTTACCTGTGATAAATGCTGTACTGAACATAAAACGGGACACATTACCATTAAAATATATATATCCTCATGTGGAAACTGCAGAGTCCATTTTCCTAAACTGTCCAACGTTAAAAAACTAGAGTGTGAAATATACAGTTTACATTTGTTTTCATTTTGGGGGCATTTGGGTCCCAGGCACAGCTGCATCCCCAGGAATTAAGGCATCCTTTATTATTTGCACACGCTTAAATGGAGGTGGCATAATTCACAGGCTCAAGGAGCAGACTGGAGACAGGGACTTTAGTTTGTACGCCTGAACCCATACTGGTCTACTCAATACTGGGCAATTTAATTTAAATAGGAAAATCAATTTTCAGTTTCCTCTTCTGCAAAAGGAAAAGTAATCTAGGGATGTCCTATACTTGAAGAATATCAGACGAAAATGTATCACATTCTTTTTGTTTTGCTCACTCCTACATTCCTGGCCTAGTCCACAGTAGGGCTGAACGAATGAATGAACAAAAGAAATGAAGAAAGATCATAAGCTACCACTGCATCGTGACTGCTGAACTGTTTCACATCAATCCCATAGATTTCTGTCACGGTGAAAGAGAATTTAATGGATTCTATTTCATTAACTCACTTGAGAAACTCACTGCTCTAAAAGAAAACCCAAAGATGCTAAGTTTTGGTCAAATTAAAGACATCACTGAGGTATTCTTAATATCACAAAACCACTTCAAATATGTGTTCAAAGGACTTCAAATTAAAATGTTCCATTTTAGGAATACAGTCTTGTACACATAGTTTCTATTAAAGTTTTCTTACTGACAAGAGTTTGTCAAGGTTGCAGACTGCTGTGGAATTACTAAGGGCAAACAATGCATGTGAATGGCCAAGGTTCCCCTGGCCAGCATTTCCAACTCAGTTGACGGGAGGATGTTTTTAACTCATCTGTGTATGTCCTTAAACAATCTAGTCTCTCTTGCTGTGGAAAAATAAAAGTAAGAGCTGTGAAAGGGCACAGAGTGAAAACCTCTGCTCCTTAAACAGGGCACTGCTTTTCAACTGCCCTAGGGCTCCTTGGGGGAGAGGAGTCGCAGCCTCCTACTTGAGCCCAGGCAGTTCTGGTTGGGTATTATCTGCTGGGGTTTTAGACCTCATGTTTTTATTTGAAGACAGGCTTTTATCATTTAAAAAAAAGTTTGAAAACAACCCTTTTAGGTGAAGGCTGTGGATGATAGGAATGCCAGGGCTTAAGTCTGAGGATGGAAGAGTCGACTGAGGCTGACAGCTGAGAGAAACTGCCGAAGCTTTTGTCACAGGGCCAGTTTAAAGCCCCAGGCCCTGGGAATGACTGCCAGCTACCATCATAATGGATGAAATTGATCAAATCCAGATTAAACACTTCTAAAAAGCTGTCCTACTTTTTCACTCTTTAGGGCTTACATTTTGTAGTCGTATTTAGGGTTTAATATAATATACTTGCATATATATTTTAAAATCTCTGGAGAATCCTGCATCAAGCAGATGTAAGAAAGGCAACTCTCACCACCTAGGAAGCATCAACCCTAAGTGAAATAAAAGGCCCTACAATGAATGTGGGACTGAGCATGGAATGGGGCGGGGTGGAGGGGAAGGCAAAAACGCAGCAACCTTTCGATGGATGCAAGTGGAAATCCTGAGTGGTCCGGTGCAGCAAATGTCACCACCTCTCTTATAAACACAAGGAGACTGGGGCCCAGAAAAGCAGAAAGACCGTGGCCCCTTACACTGTGCCTGGAGGAACCGTCTTGCAGACTCCCTCCCTTTCCACATCCAAAGGTGAACGTCCCCCATCTCTCAAGAGAGAGAAATGAGTAAGCCGGCATCATCACAGAGTGTCCACAAGCCGCCGAGGCGAAAGGAAGAGGACGGAGGATGCCTATCCAGGGCATGTTAAATGGAAGGCCTGGCTCACCCCACTGCTCACACTCACGCGGCTGCGCTTAGAACGTTAGTCCTAGCGAGAAAAAGATCTGGCGGCCCACGTTAATGTGGCTCCATGGAAACACTCCAAATCACCAGGTTCTGCAGCGGCAGCTCCACAGGTCGGCTCGGCTCACCCCAGGCGGAAGAGTCCTGACAGCTGGCCGGGCGGCCCAGCCTTGCGGGGCTCCGGCCCAGGGTCTGCTCCATGCGGCTTTCCTGCTCCCTATTGTTCACGCGGCAGCACGAGCAGAGCTACACCCTCAAGCAGGCCTCTGACCATCCTGCTGTGCTTGCCACATTCACGTTCCATGCCCCCAAATGAAAAGCAAATGAGATGTGTCTGCCCTTGAAAAGGCATTCCCCAGAGACCCAGTATCTAGGGTAAGCGGTGATGTCGCTCAGCTCAATTAAAACAAACCCCCTTCAAGTCTACGGTACAGACAGAGATCTTTGTACAACGCTGAGCCTAACACCACACACCAGGAGGTGGAGATCAGTGTTAAGAATGTGTGGCGATTCGGAAAACTTACCTCACACTGGATGTGTGCAGAACGGGATGTATTCAGTGAGGGCGGGACGCAGCTGACAACAACCTCCGACGTACCTAAGTTAGGAAACAATGAGAATCAAGAGGTCAAGTTACCTTTTCAGAAGAAAAGTTAGAAATTCCTAAAAAACAAAAACAAAAATCAACTTCCTTTGAAATGGCTCACGGTAACACGTTCTACTTTGTATTTACAACCCTTAGAGCTACAGGAAAACTGCCAAGATGCTCTGCATATTTCCCCAAATGTCTGTTTATCATATAACATTCGCACCGGCAGTGGATCTGGCCCCCTCATTATCAAGCTGTATTAGCTCAAACACTCAGCATTGTTAGCGGAGTGAGCTCATGGCCTATTTCAGTTTTAAATTAACATTTGGCAATCACCCGGGTAATCAAAACAAATGACTCAGTCGTTTAGAATAGATTTATTAGTTGAGCCTTTTTTTCCCCCCTCTTTTAACAGCTCTAGAATATTTTGCCACAGGAGGGCTCAGATCCAGACAGAATGTAGAGCACAAGTCACCAGAGGAATATTTAGAGGTGTTGCCATGGAGATGAGGTGCCTTGCGACCACTGAAGTTATCTCCAATCAACAACAGGATTAGGATGCAGGCTGGTAGGCATGCCTAGGAAACAGGTGTGCCCCGTGCTTTTCCCATCACGACACAAAGACGGTATACCCTGACACGCTGCCCTCTCCGCACCCGCGAGGCCTCCCCATGGGCACGCTGGCATCACCACCTTAGCCGCCCCGCATCATTCAGAAAGGACTGGCTGGGGCGAAGGAGAAAGGCAGTGTGATCACTGTATCCTCCCCAACGTGTGAAATCCTGAAACTCACACGAAAGGCACTTTTATATGAACTGTAAAATGTACACGAGCAAATGAAATCTGAGGAAAAGACAGCTCCCCCGCCAGCCCCGTCTCCTCTGTTCACTGCTCTATTCCCACACCCAGAACAGTGCCTGGCACACAGGAGGTGCTCAAGAAGCATCCACCAATGAAATAAGGCAAACATAAACCAAGGATTATAACCAGGCTCATAACTGCCCCCCGCGCCCCAACCAACCGGTTCCAGGCCGATCACTGAACAAGCAGCAGTGAGAGATTTTTTTTTTTTTTTTTACTGTTAATGGGAAAATAAGTACCTGGTCCAGTTAGTTCAATAGGCTAATGGGTTCATCTGTTTAGAGACCTTAATGACAACTGTCACGGTTGAAGACAACTCTTCCAAACTTGAAATGGACAAGTCTACTGACTATAGGGACAGGGGTCTTGTCTGCCAGATCAAAAGCCCAGAGGGGGCTTCCCTGGTGGCGCAGCGGTTGAGTCCGCCTGCCGATGGAGGGGGCACGGGCTCGTGCCCCGGTCCGGGAAGATCCCACGTGCCGCGGAGCGGCTGGGCCCGTGAGCCATGGCCGCTGAGCCTGCGCGTCCGGAGCCTGCGCTCCGCAACGGGAGAGGCCACGACAGTGAGAGGCCCGCGTACCGTAAAAAAAAAAAGCCCAGAGGAAGGCAAATTTGTGCCAGCGACAAAGAGCTAACTTTCAAAAGCAAATGCCTGAGAGTGACTGACTCCAATAGAATACCTTCTAGTCCCCTTCCCACCTATACTTAAGTAGAGATAATATTTTCTTATTCTATCATATGAATAATGCAGCATTGGTTTTATATATTATACCTCATTTGTCTTACAGGACTTTAAGTTTCTTGGTGACAGGGACAGAAATCCCTGCTTTCTCTTCTATCTCCCAGGACTCAGCATGGTATGTACACACAAAAGGCTTGGCTAAGTCTGTTCTCCCACCACCCACACCCCACTCACACAGAACTCAGTTTCTAGAAGGTGCCACACCCTTTCATGCAGCTGCGGGGAGAATGCAGCATGGCGCAGCTGTTCATAGCAAGGGCGCCAGAGTCAGACTGCCTGGGTTCACATACTGGCCCTGCCTCATATTAACTGTACAACCTCTGTGAACCTCATGTTAGCTGACCTCACAGAGAGGCTGTAAGGTGGCAACAGGGCAGTGCGTATAAAGCACTTAACAAGGCCTCAGGCATACAAGGTACTCACCGAGTATCAGATATATAATTAACACTACTATTACAGCAGGCGCAGAGTGAAAAGGTTATCAAAATTGGATAACCATTTCATATGCTGCCTCAGATACCTGGCTCCAAACATACCCTTACTTAGGTTGAACCCAACTTAAACTTTGAACCTGAATCCATCACACTCTAGCCTTATTATACTAGTCCATTTTACTCACCCTTCCAGAACCAATTTTTCCTAGAGATGGATTTGATACATGCTGGGCTCTACTTGAAGGAATCCCGTTCTCTAAAGAACCAGAAGAGCTTCCTCCCTGAGACCCCAACCCTGCCAGTACCTTCCCTGCCTTCTCTCCGTCTGCTCCCTACCTCTGCAAATTCAGGCTTTGGTGGGGCCAGGGGAAGCCAGAGAACTTGGCATCTAGTAACTGCACCAAGATGCCAGCTCTCCCTCGCAGAGGAAGTCCTTGAATGTCATATTCCCTATGGCCTCTAGAGGGCAGAAGAGAGAAAGGCCCAAAGGCTGAGCAGGCAGAGCTCTCGCATGGGGGTCCAACTTGGGTCCCTGCCAGAGGAGTCTTGAGTTGCACAGTTCACAGTCTGACCATCAAGAACTAGACCACAAAGAGAGATAAAAACGTACAGCAAGATTTTAACAGCATTTCTACGTCCAGTTCACGTTACTGTGTCCCGCTTAACACTGAGTTGGGGATAAAGGCACTCAGAGCCGTAGAGTTGTGTACACTTTTCAATCTGCAGTGTGTAACTGTGGCTCCGACCAGACATGACACAAATTGTGTTGATGATATTGCGCAAGTCAAAGAATAAAAACAGAACAGCAGCCAAACACACTGGGTAAAATGTGATGACAGCAAAGTAATCCAAAATAAAACCCAAACACTTTGGGGTCAGTCATGCTTTAAAATAAATCACGTTAATCTTATCCCACCCTGACAGAATTAATAAGTGAAATTAGACAAACCATTTATGTTATTCCAGAAGCCAGAAGCTATGTTCTAGTGACATTTAACATACACAATCATTCTCCTTCAGGTTTAACAATGGTATTTTGGTCACAGACACGGTCAACCCTATCACTATGGACAGCCAAGCTTAAATGATCCCCAAATCACCAATCAATTGGGTGAATTACGTGGAAAATAAAATCCAGAGACAACAGCTGTTTGAATGAATCTAAAAGACCAGTTGAATCAATCAAAATGGATGAGCCCCACAGATTCACTGTCTCCTCTAACTCTTTGAATGCGACTGTCATGGTAACCATTCCTTAATCATGTCCTTCAGAATATTCTCTCCTACCTAACAAACCAAAGAGCAGTGAACCCCAAATATCTTCTTAATTGGGTACAGTTGTGATGGTACTGAGCAGCCACTTAGACTTCTCACCTATCCTGCTTCGATTCACATGCTTACGCTGCTATGGTCATTAGAGACATTGGCATTTGCACCATCCAAAAACACATTTGAAATGTTACCATAACACGCAACAGGAAATACAAACGAGATGGCCACTGGTTTCTTTCCTTTAGCAGAAGAACTGATAAAGTGGCTCTTATCCGGCAAAATAATTAATTGGTGTAAGTAAATGGTTCAGATAAAAGATGCCTCATTTTAATAATTTCAACATAATCAGGATCTGCAACATCATCGAGTCTTTACCAGCCCATTAACTTAATAAACAAAATCCAAGAGGATATTATGTTATAGAAATATAATAAAGTCTAATTTTGTGTCCTTAGACTGAGTATAATATTCTCTATACTATGTCTGGAAGACCATTTATTCCACACAAGTTTCTACATTTATTATTTTATATGATACAATATTCTTCAAAATTTGGAAAGAGAAAGGTTTTATCTTTACTCAGTCTGGGAAAAGAGAGGCTATATTTTTAAAAGGTATCTACTAGATATACTACACATTTCAAGTTGTGATCCTTCTAGATTTCATTCTTAGATTTTTATAGTTCCTTCAGAAAACTAAAAAGTGCACAACTTTTCCAAAGTTAGAGTGGCGACCATTTTAAAATATTGCATTGGAATATATGGAACGCTTTAAAATATCAAATTTGCTGTTACAGGTTTGCAACTAGTAATAAAAGGTCTTTCCTTCCAGATATGGCACAACCTGTAAACTAACAAAAGGATGAAAGGTAAGCAGTGTGCCCACCAGGCCCCCAAGAAGCTCTAAGGAGAAATTTCGATGGGCCATTTCTGGATGCAAATTTAAAGAATCTGTGGTCACAAAGGGGGGATAAGAAATAAAAATACACGTGTTCCTTTTTAACTGGCACACTAAAACATTAAGAATACTTTTGCTACAAACACAAAAATAAGCAAGTGGGACTACATAAAATAAAAAAGCTTCTGCACAGCAAAGGAAATGATCAACAAAATGAAAAGGCAACCTACGGAATGGGAGAAAAATATTTGCAAATCATGTATCTGATCAGGAACTAGTATCCAAAATATACAAAGATCTCACACAACTCAATGGCAAAATAAACAATCCAATTTAAAAAATGGGCAGTGGAGCTGAATAGACATTTTCGCAAAGAACACAAACACATGGCCAACAGGTACATGAGAAGATGCTCAACATCACTAATCATGAGGGAAATGCAAATCAAAACCACAATGAGATACCACGTCACACCTGTCAGAATGGCTATTATCAAAACACCACAAATAACAAGTGTTGGCAAGGATGTAGAGAAAAAGGAACCCTCTTACACTGTTGGTGGGAATGTTAATTGGTGCAGTCACTATGGAGAACAGTATGGAGGTTCCTCTGAAAATTAAAAAATAGAACTACCATATAATCCAGCAATTCTGTTTCTGGGTATTTATCCAAAGAAACTAACTCAAAAAGATATCTGCACCCCCATGTTCACTGCAGCACTACTTACAATAGCCACGATATGGAACAACCCACGTTCCTATCAATGGATGAATGGATAAAGAAGATGCAGTACATGTATACGC